TCTGAGGACACAGATGGCTGGGTAATAAACTTAGGAATTTTGAGTGGATAGGCACAAATTTGAGAGAACAAAGGAGACAGCCCCAAAATGGAGTCACTCTGAGAGAACAAAGGAGACAGCTCCAAAATGGAGTCACTCTGGCTCCACAGAAGGATGTGGTGAATCAGAATGCCATGCACAGTCGGTCGGTGGGGGGTAAACTGCTACAGTCCCTATGGAAAACAGTATGGTGCATCTTCAAAAAACTAAAAGTGAAGGGCCGGGGATTTAGCTCAGTGGTTCTGCCACCTGCCTCTCAAGTGCAAGGTCCTGAGTTCGATCTCTAGTACCAAAAAAACAACAAAACAAAAAAATAAAAGTGGAATTATACAATCCAGCAATGCTCCTTCTGAGTATATGCCCAAAAGAACTGAATGGAGAATTTTGATATTTGCACACCCATGTTCATAGCGTTGTTCACAAAAAGCCAAAGGGCAGAGGCAACCTGTGTCCATAGACAAGTGGGTAAACAAAATGTGACATCCTCATCTCATGACATATTATACAGCCTTCAAAGGGAAGCAAAGTCTGATCCAGGCAACCATGTGGATGTGTTGGGAACAATGCTACATAATTCTAGGGAAAAATCATTTGAGTAGGCCTAGTTCTCTTGTCTACAGGCCAGCTATGACATTCCAGACATAATTCCATTTTGGCCTCAGGTCACAACTGAGACCTCAGTGATCCCCGGATGCTGTAATGCTCCAGGACAAGACCACACCTGCGGGAGACGCCAGGTAAGAACCAAATCTTCATCTGCATAGTTCCTCAGTGTTCTTAGACTTCCACTGCCCCCCGCCCCCGTCTTTTGTTACACCTTGTTTACCCAATGTGAGGTACTGAACTCTGCATTCCACTTGTTACATCTGTTTCCCCACTTACTGAATAAAAAGTGCTGCAGGCTAGGGGTTTTTTGTCTTTGCTGCCCAGAGCAGCACTGATCAGACCCAAAGCTCAGCTTCTTCTCAGTCTCATTTTTCTACCTTTCCTGTAATTCGCCATGTGCTGCCGTGGCTTGCAGGAGACTAGGACTCACTACAGAGGTTCTGGTAACGTCCCCTTCCCATTCCCTACATGGATGCACCTTGAAGACCAACAAAGTGAAGGCAGCCTCAGGAGGACAAATGCTGTAAGGTTCCACTTATGTAAGGCACTTAGTACAGGCATAAATAGGGGCAAGCCAGGTGTGGTGGCACACACCTGTCATCCCACCACTGGGAAGGCTGAGGCAGGAGGATCCCTGGGAATGTGAGGCCAGCCTGGGTTGGACATAGTGAGTTCACGGCCAGCCTAACTACATAGTGTGAGCATGTCTCAAAAACACAAAAAGTTAAAATATTAGAATATTAAATGGTAGCCGCTGGCTTCTTCTCTGGGTTTGGGTGTGGGCTCACCCTGTCACTGGCATTAGAGCCAATCTGGTTCCCATTTGGCCCTAGAATATGGATAAACCTGTTCCTTCTCCTCCAAGCTTCCCTGGGCTGAGTCCCTTTAAGAACCCACAGCCCCAGGCCAGCAGTGCTTGGCCTCCAGTGATTTATTGGGCAATGATTTTCCACAGTCTCAACCCTTCCTCCTCTCTGAAATTGAGACCGTGTGCAATACCATATTTTGCCAGTAGGTGGCGCTGCTCGTAGCAAAGGTGCTCTCTCCCAGGGTTCTGGATTTCAGGATGGTTCAGTAATGTTAAGTGCTGAGGGTGCTGACACAACATCCTGTAATAGTTAGCATCTGGCACAACCCAGGTACAGTGGCCCACACCTGTGACCCCAGCACTCAGAGGCTCAGGTAGGAGGATAGCAAGTTCAGCATTCGCCTCCATGGCATCTGTCTTTCCTTACCAAGTCAGCACAGTGTCCCCTTCTGGAAGCCATCTCTTCAGGGACACAGTGCACGGCACTCAGTACCTTGCTATAATGATGTCCCAGCTCCTGAGCTCTTGGATGGGGCATGGACTGTGCTGGTCAGCTTGTGCCCGGTCAGAGCAGGGCTTGACAAGTGTCCATAAACCTTTGCTGACTCCATTCCTATACTGGCCAGCCTGGGTCAGCTTTTTCAACATCCTCCCTTAAAAAGTCTTTTTGGTTTTTTGAGGGTCTCACTATGTAGCCCAGGTTGGTCCCGATCTTGCAATCCTCCTGCCTCAGCCTTCAGATTTCTGGGATCACAGGAGTGTGTTTTAGCTCTTTTTCTTAATTGCACTTAAAAATAATTTAAAATGATAAGCTAGGTGTGATGGCGCATATGTCTGTGATGCCAGCATTTGAGAGGCTGAGGCAGGAGGATCACCTGGAGTTGGGAGGCCAGCCTGGGCTACACAGTGAGTTCAAGGCCAGCTTGGACTACACAGCAAGACTGTCTCAGAGAAACCAAAAAAAAAAAAAAGAAGAAGAAATTGAAATTCTTGCCATGGGAGCTTCAAGGCCCGCTGCAAAAACCAGCCTAGAGCCCCCAGACACAGCTGCCAGGGCAGCCTGAGACGGCCTGGATATACGCATCCTCCGCAGAATCCAACCAGACCTCCTGCATACTGAGCCACACCTCCAACCCCATTTTGTGTTTAATAAACCCAAGCCATCAGCCTGTCTCTACAATTTACCTTTTCTTAAAGCTCACATGCTAACTTGTGAAGCTCAACTGGCTAATTTCCCTTATCTAGTAATTTCCCAAAACCCAGCAAGAAATGGGTTAATATCCTCAAAAACGGGCCAAGGGCATTGACAGGAAAGTCATAGAAAATACACAGGGTCAACTTGCACTTTGAAAGTTCATTCATGAAACAAAGTGATGCACACTGAGTCTTAGGACCCCACCCTCACCCCTGGCTGAGATGCACAGCCACCTCTCTCACAAGGCCGCAGCAACAAACGGAATGGTCCCCTTTATCCTGAGCAAGTTGGCAATGGCAACCAGCACCACACATGGTCTCTGACCCGAGGGGTCCCACCGCCGCCACCAAGGCCTTGGGGGCCACGTGTTACTGCAGCGACTCTAACCTGAGGACGGGCGACCAGCAAATCACCCTTCCAAGCCTGGTTAATCAGACGTTCATGTGGCCCTGAACAAGAACAGGAAGCCCTTTCAGGATCACTTCGAAACTCTTCACAATACTGGAAGTTTAAGAAAATAAAAACTGGCAGGGCATGGTGGCACACACCTGGAATCCCAGCACGCAGGAGGCTGAGGCAGGAGGATCACTGGGAGATCAAGGCCAGCCTAGATTACATAGCAAGACCCTGTCTCAAAACAAAAAATTACAATGACAACAGAAAACTAACATGGAATATACAAGAAACAGATGAGAAAGGCACCCTGGGGGGTGGCACTTCATGGTAATTTTGAACCATGTACATTATTCAGAAAAACAAAATCAGAGCGCTTTATTTTTTGTTGGTACAGGGGATTGAGCCCAGGGCCTTTGCACTGAGCTACATCTCCCACTCTTTTTTATTTTTTTAAATTTATTTTTTGGTGCCAGGGATTGAATTCAGGACCTTGTGCTTGTGAGGTGCTGTGCTACTGAACTAAATCCCGGCCCACCTTATTATTTTTTGAGACAGGATCTCAGTAAGTCACTAAATTGCACGGGCCAGGCTTGAAACTTGTGATCTTCCTGCCTCAGCATCCCAGAATGCTGGGATTACAGACGTGTATCACTACGCCCAGCTACTTCTCATCCTAATCCTTTCTTGTTACTGAAGATTCTGGTTGAGCTCCAGAACTGACTTGCTGTGCTTTCTGCAGTATACCCAGCCTTACAGAAATCCAGAGCAGGGCTGGGGTGTAGCTCAGTGGCACCGCATCTGCCTTGAATGCACAAGGTCCTGAGTTTGATCCCTGGTACCACCAAAAAAAAAAACAAACAAAAAAGAAAGAAAGAAATCCAGAGCAAAGGTGTGACTGATAGGGCCTCCAGGCCTGCACTTCCTCCCTCTGCTGACAGGTGGTGCTACCCTGCTGACCAACAGGCAAAGAAACAGGCAGGCACCCGTGAGTAACATAAAATAGAAACTAACTTTATTTCTCTGGAAGAAGCAGATATTGATAGCTGGGGCAGCAGCTTTGGCCACAGAGGCTGGTGAGAAACAGAACCGCACAGAGGAAGAGCTGGGTGCAGACAGGAAGCACTGGTGTTCCTCTAGGGCAGCTGCCCCTTGGTCTCCTTCCAACCCTGGGGCCTTGGGCCCTGGTCCCTGCCAGAAAACGGTCCGGCACCTCTTCTCCACTTCCTGAGCCACCCTGGCTATTTCCAGGCACAAGATCCTAAGATAGGCTGAGCCCTGTAACACATCCAGTCCACAGCAGGCACAGGCACATGCTGTCGACCCCACTGCCTGCAGGGCTCCCGGACAGCACTCAGCCTCGATGAGGGCCTGTAGGTTCGGGCGCCTCTCTCCGTGGGCACACGTCTCCCGCTGGGTCACACTGGCTTCCTCTCAGTCTGGTCCCCTGGGCAGGGCCTGGCCCAGCCTCAGACATCCTGGGCGGTTCACAGGGCTCCTCCCACCTCCGGGCGGGGGCGCTGAGGACTGAGCCAAAGTGAGCAGGGACAGTGCTGGGCGAAGGAGATGGGCAGGGTGGGCACTGGCCTCCCGCCACCTGGGCCTCTCCGTCGCTGGGAACAAGGGGCGACAGCAGGTCCTCCGGCCTGGGCAGGCCCTCCCCACCCTGGCACACGAGCAGCTCGCTTACTCCTTCAGGGTAGACCCTCAGTCTCCAGATCCGCTCAGCGCCTGCGGAGGGGAGAGAGCCCAAGTCCCATCAGCACAGGCTAGCCAGTGCCAGGCAGAAGCTGAACACCCAGGGCTCTAGGCAGTGATTCTGGAGCTCATCATCCTGGGAATGGCTTTCTGAGCTGAGAGAACAGCACTATTGTCAGTACCCAAGGACGCAGGGACAAGAAAGCCACAGCTTATCTGGAGGCAAATGGGGGAGAAAACCGGGAAACATCACCTCACACCAACAGTCCTGGGCGGGGAACAGCGCATCCCACACTCTGCTTTCCCATCACTTCCGGCTGGACAGAGATGAGGAGCCAAGCTGCGCAGTGGGCAGTGCGCTGGCTGCTCCCCCCAGCCACTGGCCCCAAGCCCACCTAGCCAGCCAGGCCCCACGGTCCACAGCACTGGCTTCTGGAACAGAGCCGGGGTCACCTGTGTGCCTGTATTGTCACCACTCTTGGCCTCAATAGAAGTTTCGTTATATGTATTTATACATCGTTCCATGTTACTTATACATCTATGTACACACACACACACACATACACACGCACGCGCGCACACTCATTCTAGGAAAGAAGTAACGGGATTTGGGGGGCTGTGACATTCCTTTAAAGGGGCATTAAGTACACGTGAGTACATGTGTACACATGTATGTATCCACGTTTTGAAACAGGGTCTTGCTACATTGCCCAGGCTGGTCTCAAAATCTTGGGCTCAAGGGATCCTGCCTCAGCTTCCTGACTGCTAGGAAGACAGGTGAGCACCAAGGCATTAACATTTCAATGTTACTTTAAACAAGAACATGAAAAGAGCTGAGAAATGTTTGCTTCAATTGCTGGGCCTGAAGTGCAGGGGCTGCTGTGGAGGCACTGCAGCAAGCCCGTCCCCCTCACCCCAAGGTCCCGTCCCTGACTCCCCAGCTCCTGGGAGCTGTCCCCAGCCTGCACTGCCCACTCCCTGCATCCCCCACAAACAGGGCCAGGCACTCACTTGTGGTGGGCAGGGCCGAAGGAGCCCAGCAGGTGGCAGCCAGCCTGCTCCAGGTTCCAGTCAAACATCTCCAGCACTTTGTGACACTCCAGCCTTGGCCGTAGCCCCAGCCCAAAGAGCTGCTCCACCTGGGGGGTGGAGGGCAGCACCATGGGGTCCAGGACGGAGGGGCACCGTGCCGGGCAGGGCAGGGCAGTGTCAGAGCAGGGAGAGGGGAAGCAGCAATCTCGAGGCCCTGGACACCAGGGCAGCAGGCGGCAGCAGTACCTTCAGATACTGGGCAGCCCTCTGCATACTCCAGCCGTGGCACTGCAGGGCGGCCTGGCACTCCTCTGTGGTCACCCCGTGCACCATGGCCTGCAGCTGGGCACAATGCCCATCAGCACCATGCCCAGCCTGCTGGGTCCCTTGGCTCTGCCCACCCACAGCCCAGCCCCTCACCATCTGGACCTCATCCGCCTGCCGTGCAGTCTCCAGCCCATCCCCCGGGCAGCCCCTCTGTGAGGTGGGTGGCCGGACAGCAGGGTTGCTGTTGTTGGTAGAGAAGTTGGCCTTGGGGTCGGGGGCGGCCTGGGGCATGGGCCGCACGGTGGCGGTGGGGGCCGCGGGGGCGGGGGTGCTGGGCGGTGGCGGCAGCAGGGGCACGGGTTGCAGGGCTGGCTCCTCGGGACTTGAGGCCTCCCGGAGGAAGCGCTGATAGCGCTCCAGGTAGGGAGGACGTTCAGGCAGCAGGTAGTAGTGGGTGCTGCTGACCTTACGGCCATCGCGCACGATGGGCAGGATGCAGGGCCCTGCCCGGGGGCCAGGAGCCTGGATCACCTGAGGGGTTGCATACTTGGGGTCGGAGGCAAAGCTCTGGGTGGTAGGCATGGTCTTCCCGGGTGAGCTCGAGAGCCGGGGTGGCAGTGGGGAGCTGCCAGGCGGCACCAGGGGGCTGGGGGTCCTTGAGCTTTGTGGGGACAGGGGCTCCCGGGGAGGCACCCGAGGAGGGGACACAGGTCCGGGCCACCGGCCCAGCTCCTCCTCTCCCGAGGGGGCCGGAGACAACTCGACTCTTGGGTGCGTGGGCCTTGGGGGAATGGGCACCCGGGGTGGCACCTGGGGCTTGTCATCACTGGCGGGGCCAGGTGAGGGGGCCAGAGAGCCCGTGGGGACCTGCAGCTGCCGCATGCACTCCTGCTGCAGCGCCTGGAAGATCTGGGCAGTCTGCGCCGAGCTGGGCGGTGGGGCCCCACCCTGGGAGGGCAGGAACAGGTTGTCCTCCAGCGCCAGGGGGCACCGCTCGGGCTCAGGCATGAAGGCGTAGTTGGTCTCGCCCTGGCAGGGCCCAGTGGCCAGCCCAGTGCCCACCAGCGTGCTATTGATGGAGCAGACCTCGAAGTCGTCTTCGTCCTGGGCCACATCGTCGTAGGCAGGGGGCGGGGGCAGTGGGCGTGCATCCCAGTCCACCACTGGTGTGGGGTGCAGGGGGCGTGGCAGGGCCCGTGTGGGGCTCTGGGGAGGGGTCTTGTCCAGCAAGGAGCAGGCGTCCATGGCCAGCTGTGCCAGGGAAGGTGCGCAGGGCCGAGGGGCAGGGACCACGGGGTCCTCGCCAAAGTCGATGAGGGTGACCTCGCTAGCCCCGCCACTGACACCACGGCCTGCCTTGGTGCCTGGGACCCGGGCTGAGGGCTTCGACAGCCACAGCCCCCAGGGCAGGCCTGGCTTCCGCAGACCCAGCCTCTTGAAGTCACTGGCCAGGGCGTCTGGGTCCTCGCTCACAGGGTCGTAAGTGGGCTCTGGATGGAAAGGGGGACCCCAACAGAGAGGCCGCGTCAGGCAGGGCAGGGGACACGAGAAGGCAGAACCTGGGGATGGGAGCCAAGTATCCCACAGGACCCACTGCCAGTTCCCCGAGTCAGCCTCGCCTTGGCTGCCAAGCACCCAGCACACCCCAGCTTCAGACAGAAGCAACCAGCTGGTGTCTGTGCCCGCCTCGGCCCTCTGGGGCTGCTGCTCCCCTGGCCTCCTCGACAGCAGCGCAGGCAACACCCGGCCCTGCCCCTCTCTGACGCTCCCTCCAGGCCACGAGACCTTCATGCCTTTGCCTAGGCCCCACCACTCTCTCCCTAGCTCTACACAGCACACCATCAGCGCTGGCACAAGCAGCAGGACACTCTGGGGAGATGGAGCTTCTGAGCAAACCCCTCCAGATCCCAGAGGGAGGGAGCAGGCAGGACCAGGCCATGGTACAGCAAGCCAAGCCATGTCCCCAATCCCAGGCTCTGAGGATCCCAGGGGAGGCGGGCAGGCTGGGCCAGGCCAGCAGCAAAACCTCACAGCAGTAGCCACCTCCCCCCGCTCAGGACCTTCCAGGAGGAGAGGAGAGGAGAGGAGAGAGGAGAGAGGGGACGGGGGCATCCTGAGCGGCCCCACTTACTCGGAGTGAAGATGGCAGGCTGAGGAGGGCGAGGCGGAGGCTCCCCTGCAAGAAAGGCCACGCGAAGAGGCGGGAGAGGGAGCGAGCCAGACGGGACAGAAGGCAGACAGACGGATGGCGACACAGGCCAGGGAGGGCAATAGGGCCGGATGGGACAGAGGACAGGGAGGGAGACACAGCAGGGTGGGGACAGCAGGCAGGATGAGACAGAGGCAGGCGGAGGCAGAGCTAAGAGGGGAGAGCGCGTGCGCACAGTGAGTAGGGTGAGCAAGTGAGCAACCCCAGCACGAATGGGAGGCAATGGGCTGGCAGGATGGCTCAGCCATGTCCCAAGTGACAGGCACAGGCAGGCACAGGAGATGGAGGAGGCCTAGCTGAGATGGAGCCGTGGGAGCTTTGGCCCAGAAGAGGGGAGTACGGTTAGGGGAGGGTGGGGGGCCGAGGTGGGCAGGGCAAGGCAGGACCAACAAGGGTGCCCACCTCAGCAGATACAGCTGCCTCTCTTCAGCCACCCCACGCCCAGCTAGAGCCAGGGACACAGCTGTCCCGCCTGCTGCTGCCCGGGCCCAGCTGTCCCTGGAGCAGAACAGTAGGCTTGGGGTGGCCTGGGGACACGAAGGAGCAGCACTTACTTTTCAGCCTTCCCAGGTGCTGGCTGGGCCGGGAGGTGCTCAGCTCCACACTCAGCAAGTCAGGGGGATCCATAGGGTTCCCCAGGTACAGTCTGCAGAGAGAGCCAGGTTGGAGGTGGAGGCCTCTGGGGCCAGGCAGGAGGCAGCCCCAGCATGTGAGGGGCTTTGTGCCTGGGCCCCTGCATCTGAGAGCCCAGTGGCAGACCTGGATGGGGGTGCGGGCTTCTGACTCCCATTCCACCCGTTCCGATCCGTCCACAGATTGAAACGTGAGTGGCACAGACAGGGCAGGGACAGACCCTAGGCCAAGGGTCGCCAATACCACCCTGTGTCCCACAGCCGCAGCTCAGGTGCAGGGGACAGAGGACAGCATGGGCCCGACCTCGCCACCCCACCCGCCCAGCACAGGCAGTGGCGCCCGAACCCCACCCTGCCTGTCTCCACAGCCCGTCCTGGCACTCGCTTCTGGAAGAGTGAGAGCAAGAGTTTCAGTGAGCAAGGCTTGGAGGAGCGCGGGCTGAGAGGGCGGGAGAGCACAGGCGGCGCTTCTGCTCAGCCTGGCGCTGTCCCACAGGAGAAGGCCCCAGGGGACAAAGTGTGAGCCTCCGGGTGTGGCTGCACTGTGGGCCTTCAACCCTCACTCTGACCACACACCAAGTCCTGTTGTGCCCACGCATGCCCGGCAGCTGGCAGCGAGGCAGGAAGGAGGGGACAGCAGCCCCGGGCTGGCCAGGTCAGGATGCAGAGCCTGTGTGAACTTCAAGGGGTGGTAGTGACGCCATCCCCGGGCCACAAAGGAAGCTGCTTCTCAGGTTCCTGGCGCAGCCGGGGGGAGAGGTCCTCGTGCCTGGCACTGTTTCCCTGTGGCAGAACAGGGTTCAGGGGCTTCCAAGGAGGGACCACATTTCCACTGAGGAAAGGCATGGTGGCTTGGGAAAAGGCCAGGGGCAGAGCACCTTGGGAGGTATCCCTTGGGAGCCCTGCCTCACGGGGACCCCAAGCCCCTCCGATGGAGGAGATACGAGACCTGCTCCTGGCTGGCAGGGAAGGCATTCGGCCAGGAGTCCCCAGAGGGGCAGGACCGGGACGGAGAGTGGGGTCCAGGCTGGGTACTCACTCATCAATGCGGTCAGGGAAGCCCCAGCAGTGGCGGGGGTCGCTGTCCCCGTGCCCTGTGTGGATGAAGCTGTTCTGCAGGGGCTGGCTGATGTCCTGCGCCGACAGGCCAGCCACGGAGGTCACCACGTTGCGAGGGAAGGGCCCCACACACAGCGTCCGCGTGTTCTGCCCTCGCCACCAGTAGTTCTCAGCTCTGCCCGCAGAGACGTCGTGGTCAGTGGCAGGCCAGGGCCCTTTTCCCACCAGGCACTCCCTGCCAGCCCACCTCATTAGGCCTGCAAAGCCAGTACCATCTTCTCAGAGCTGCTCTCTCCTCCCTTCTCCCCAGCCAGGCCCAGCCTGACCCTTCCCACCTCACGTCCTCTCTCCAGCCAACTCCAGGGGTCTCCGGAGACGGCAGGTCCCAAGGGAGCCCCCAGTTACAATCTGCTTCAGGGTGAGCAACAACACCCTCTTCCTCCCTGCTCTCCACCCTCCTCAGGACACGCTCTGGTGTCTTATACGGGCCTGAGGTGATGCGGACTCCCAGTGTGGCTGACACGGACCAAGCCCTGTCGATGCAGCCTGAAGTGGGCTGGGCCGGAAGCACAGGGTCTCCCCACCACGTGGACTGCCCCACACTCAGGCTGAGGGTCCCGCCCCCGCCGCTGGAACTGCACCATGACGGCAACGAGGGCAGTCTGGGCTAAGGCACCGTGGTGACAGTGTCGTGCTGCTGGGACATGTGTGCCACCAGGCTGCCTGCACTCATCGTCACCTCCTCACCCTTACTCCACCGGCCCCAAAGCCATAGGCACACTCCTCCGAGATGCAAGGGCAGGGAACACAGAGGGAAGAGGGGTCTGGGCGCCTGGGACCCTGCCTGGGGCGTGTGACCCCCTACAAGACTGGGGATGCAGCAGTCCTTTGGGAGGTGACAGGCGGTGGCAAAGGAGGAGGAGCCCAGTCCCCCAGCAGACACACCCTGTGACTATACCCTGCCTCCAGGGTAGGGAGGGCAAGGAAGGAAGGAAGGAGTGAGGACAACACCCCAAGAAGGGACGAGACCCATCCGAAAATAGCAGGGCTGTTCCTAGGAGGAGAAAAGCTCCTGCCACATACAGGACCACCATGAGGGCTAAGGGGGGCCCAGGACCCAGATGCTGCTCCCCGGGGACTCACTGCATCACAGACCCTGCCGTCCTCACAGGCCCTGCACCTGCTCTCCACACCTCAAAGGCGCTCTGAGGCTGGGGCAGCCAAGTGGAAGGGACTGCGTGCGCCAAGGCCGGGTCTGGAAGCTCACTCTCCCACCCCACCCTCAACCAGCATGCCTCCTAATGGGCACTTTGGACAGTGACAGGAGCCACCAACCCCCTGCCCTCTGTCACAGGCACAGCCCAGGCCCGAACGCAGGGCCACGGGAGCTCCCCAGCCCCAGTTCATGGAGATGAGCCGCTGGGGGCATCCAGGCACCTGCAGAAACACCCTCTCCCCTGGGAAGGCCAGACAGAGCTGCAGCTTACTGCCCATGTGGACCCTGCAGGTGCAGCAGCCCAGAGCGCCCAGCCCCTCACCAGCCTGCCCCTACACCCTCTTCCTGCCCACTCTGTGTCTGATGCAGACAGGTGGGGGGCGCTGGGGCAATGAGCGAGGCCCCAGTCCCTCCAGCCTACACCTTGAGCCTCCACACTTCTCAGCTCGGGCTGGTCTCATCCTTCCCTCAAAGAACACCCCAGCCCCTTGGTGCACTCATCTACACAGGAAGCAGAGGCTGCGGGCCAGGTCAAGGACAAGCCCTGCAATGGATGTCAAATCCTCTGGACCCTTCATCACTTCCATAAAAACAGAAAAAACAAAATGCAGGGCCAGGGATTTAGCTCCACACCACCGAGAAGCATGGAGCGCCCAGGGAAGTTGGAGTTGGGCACAGGAGGCTTCCAGGCACGAGATAAGGAGATACCCCAAGAGCAGGAGGGAGCAGGAGCCAGAGAAACAGACAGAGCACGCACCACACACACGGAGACGGCTCACCAAACAGATACTAGACTGAGGACAGAAGGGGGCAGAGTCAAAGCCCTGCAGCCACCGGGCCCACTCCATCCTCACCGACTGTCGCAGCCTCTTGGCCCTCACTTCCCACCTCCTGAGCAGATCCGGGGACCCAGGGCAGGCTGGTGGCCAGGCAGAAGGAAGCTGTGAGCTAAACCATGGGCAGTGGGAGCCAGAGGCAGAATGAGCAGCAGAGCCAACCAGAGCCGGGGATGGAAGGCAGGACAAGGCGGGCTGTGACATCCTGCAGGCAGCCACCTCTCCAGCCCCTCCCATGGCCGGCCTTGCTCTCGGTGACGCAGGACACCAGCCCCAGACACTGGCTCCAGAAACATGGGAAGCCAGAGTCATCCTGGGGAACGTGGCTCCCATGACGGGAGATGACAGCTCAGGGCAGCCCTGGCTCCTGGGGGTCAGGATGCTCTGCTAGGCTCCCTTCATCTTCCCATTTCCAGACTGCTCCCAGGGCACCATGCCTACAGCCCTTCCTCACCCCTCTCCTTCAAACCTGCACACTGTCCTCAAGCAGTTTTCTGCTTCTTTCTATCACCAGACACTCTGGAACCTTACCCACCCCTGCCACCGGCTAGAATATGCCATTCTCGGTCCTAGGGTGGAGGAACAGGGCCACAGTGGGTGCAGGTGAGTCCTACACCTGCTCACCCAGCTTCCTGGGCTGACGTTGGGTTTATCTCATACCCTGCAGGCCTCCAAGCCCCAGAGCAGGCAGAGAGGCTCTGCGAAAGCCGCCAGGCCAACCTATGCCCAGTTCTGAGTCAGAGAGTGCCCCAGGGAATTCCCCGCTCCACTCTTCTTCCGGGCCCTCCTGGTCACCTCCAGCTCACCCCTGCCCCCAAAGGCCTCTCCAGTCACCCTGGGGATCAGATGACAGAGGGCGGGGCCTCCAGGGCTGCTGGGAACTGAGGACTCAGGGACAGACAGGACCCCACCAGGGGAGACCCAGAGGCCTGGGCCCAGGTGGAAACAACCCAGCCAAGGGGGCCAGGGAGGCAAGGCAGGAAGGATGGAAAGGCTGGAAGCGGATGAGGGTGGCCTGGACAGGTGTGGGCTTGCTCTGGGTGCTGCAGGGCCCCAGGTGGCAGTCAAAGTCCTCCAGCAGAGGAGGCAGGAAGAAGGCAGAGGGGAGGATAAAGGAAGCATGCCCACCCGTGAGTTACTGCTTTGCTGTGCCCTGAGGCCAGGCCAGGCCACTGACCAGCACAATGTGGCAGCCCAGATCCACATGGCAGCTGAAGCCAGGGGGAAGAGGAGCCAGTTGGGCAACAAAGCCGGGCCTGAGCCCAGCACTCAGGAGCCTGCCTGCCCACTTGCCTGTCACCACCAACCTGTGTGCTGCCATGCGACCCCCCAGGAGGTGGGGCAATCTCTGTCCCCGCGCCCCCAGCCCGTGCCCTTCACAGGGTCCCCAGAGTAGGCACTGTCCTACCTTCCCTCGATGACAGTAATGACATCATTCATCTGGATGTGCAGCTTGTCTGGCTCCTCAAAGTCCTGCAGGGCCCGCATGTCAGTGGGCTGGGCCTGTAGGCAGAGACCTGTTATGTCTGCCTCGGATTAACCACAGGCAGCATCCTGTGCCAACACCCGTGGACAGGCCTGCCCCTCACCTCCAGCAGGAAGTCCCGGAGGGCCACAAATGTGGGTCTGTCCTCGGGCTTGTGCGCCCAGCACTGGACCATGACGTTGTAGATGTCCTGGGGGCAGTCCTCAGGCCGTGGCAGGCGCTCCCCCTCCTTATCAATCTTGTGCAGGATCTGGGAGGACAGCAGCACGCTTAGCTGGCTCTCCACCTCCCATGTGTCCTCCAACCCCGGCAATGTGGGTCACTGCCGGCTGCCACCCCACAGCCTAGGACCCGGTTCCCAGGCCTAGGGTGTCAGCACAGGTGGGCCTGGCCATGGATGGGAGTGAGTGGCCCAAATCTTCCGTCCCCTGGCCCATTAGGTGGCCTTTCGCTGCTCAGTCATCTGGGGGTCAGACAGACACCAGGTGTGGGCGACAAAGGGTCACTCAGTTGACAGCCAGGCTGGCAGCCAGGGACAGAATCACCCCACTCATCCACGGGAGGCATGGCCCCTCACCTGGCTGCCATTGAGGCCGATCCAGGGCTCCTGGCCATAGGTGAACATCTCCCACAATGTGACCCCGAACATCCAGGTGTCGCTGGCATGGGAGAAGGTGCGGGTCTTCAGGCTCTCAGGGGCGCACCTGGCAGAGGTGGGAGTCAGCCCCCACAGACATGGAACCCTCACTGGACAAGCTTTTCCTGCTGCCCCACACGCGGGACCAGGAAGGGCAGGCAGGGCATCCTGACCCTGGAGAACACCCTGGACCCCAGGACTCATGTCAACCCCTGCAGCTGTGGGCTGGGGGTCCTGTTTAGGGAAGCCGGGAGAGGCCCGAAGGCTCCAGGTCAGGGTCTGGGGAGATGAGGCCTCAGATGTTCTCTGTCTGGCAGGAGGATGACAACTTCCAGATCTGGGGCAGATCCTAGGGTCTTTGTCATTTCAGCAGGAAGGTGTGGGCAGGAAATTCAGACAGGGTCTGGAGAAGAAGCCAAATGTGTGGAAATAGCACACTGGCTTTACCTAAGTGCACCCTCACTACTCTGGGGCCCCTCGAGGGGGAGGTTAGGAAAGGGACGTCCTAGGGTGGGCTGAGGTGCTGGGGGAGAAGCAGGCACCATGAAAAAAATCAAAAGACCACCTGTGCTTGAGCCTGAACTATATAGCAAGATCCTGTCTCAAAAATCCTAAAAAAAAAAAAAAAGACCTCTTATGGGCCCTTGTGTGCCTCAAAGGGAACAGGGCTCAGGGACACTCATTCAAGATCCCTGAGCTTCACCTTCCCGTCTCTGAAATGGGAACAATAACCTGCATACTCCCCAGGACTGTTTCAGGGTTGTATTTTTTAAAAAGTGACCTTATAACCGGGGATTTAGCTCAATGGAGCCACCACCCGCCTTGTAAGCACAAGGTCCTGAGTTCATCCCCCGTACAAAAACAAACAAACAAACAAAGTGACCTTATAATTTACCACCACAACCAGGTCACCTGAATACAAACATGGGATAACAGGCATATCTCAGGACACCCAGTCACCCAGGAGCAGACTAAGTTATTAAGTAGGTACGTGCACAGCCTGGGGTACATGGGAAGCAGAAGTGGACAGACTCCTCCCACCAGAAAGACCATGCTCCTCTGGGTGCTACTAGCCCACCAGGAGAGCACAATGATTTCAGCACAGGATGAACCCAAGGCCTGGGTTGAGCTAGGCATGTCCACTGTCGCCATGGTCTACAACGCCTATTGGTAGCTCTTTGAGAATGTGCTCCCACAATTGCACCTGGGTACGCTCCCGACACCTGAGGGGCTGAATATCAAGTCCTTCGGGAAGCCTTTTAATATCCCGCCAAGTAGCACATCCTTTTGGCTCAGAGCTTTTATCCCTGGGCCTTCCAGTACCCCTCAAAAACCCTGGAGAGATGGGGAACAGATGGGTGGGAAAGAAGGGTGCCCGAGAACCAGGGGAACCAATGATGTGCACAGAGGCCCCAGAAACCCGAGGTCTGGGTCCGCTGGGACCAGGCTGGGTGGGGGCCAGCAGCACCTGCCCCTCACCAGGCAAAGGGCACCTTGCGATGTTCCTGCATGACATAGTGGTCGTCATTCTGGGGCAGGGCTCGCATCAGTCCGAAGTCCCCGATCTTGACCAGGTCACGGGTAGCCAGCAGTAGATTTCGGGCGGCCAGATCACGGTGAATAAAGCGCTTGGACTCCAGGTAGCCCATGCCCTCGGCCACCTGTACAGCATAGCGGCTCAGAGTCCCCAGGAGAAAGTGACCCTGGTGCTTCCGCAGCCGGTCCAACAGGGATCCCAAGGGTGCCAGCTCTGTCACCTGAGAACACAGATGGCAGGCGTCCAGCTGAAGTCCAGGCACCACTCCTGAAGGCTGCCCAGCCACCCTCGGTGCTCCTTCCTGACCTGACCTCCAGGGACCTGCAGGAGCCCTACTGCTTCCCAGGCCTCTCCCTCCATGCAATATGGGAAACAGGCGAAGACAGAAGCTGCTCCAAGAGACTCAGGTTAGAAATTCCCAGCAGGAACTCAAGGGCCAGTCCCTCCTGTGGTACAGCTCTGCGACAGGCAGGCGACGGTACTAGCCTGGGCCCATGGGCCCCTCTGTCCCCTCAGGTGGGGGAGCACAGTGGGACCTGGACACTGCCCCCATCCCAGCCCCAGCTCTTCAGGCCCCCGGCACTCACCATCTTCATGGGCGGCGTGAGCACCACACCGTACAGGCGGATGAGGTTTCGGTGGTCAAGTGAGTGCATGGCGTTGACCTCCCGGATGAAGTCATCCATGGCCTCAGGCTGACTCAGCACGTCAGGCTTCAGGCACTTCACGGCCACACTCACCTGGCCGGGAGGATGTGCAGGGTGAGGTCTCACCTGGCACTGGTTCTTGGGGTCAAGCTGCTCCGCAACACAGCCCAGAGACCCCCACCTCAGCTCTGCCCAGACCTGGGGGTAAGTACAGCACCTGTGCTGGGAGCCTGGTGGGGGAGGCAGCCGGTGGACCCTGGGGGCCGTTAGCTGGGCCTCCCCTTCCTGGGGCAATGCCCAGGTTAAGCAGCAACCAACAGCTAAGAGATGCCAGGTGTGATGACTAACACTGTGATAAATCTAACCCCAAAGACTCCATGGTGCTACCAAAGGGGATAGTGACCTCCCTCGGAGGAAGGGGCTGCTGAGTGCCAAGGAGAAGGCTGAGGCAGCTTTCCAGGGTGCAGGCAATGCTCACCTCCTGCCTCAACCTCCCAGAGTGCTGGGATCACAGTTGTGCTCCACCACACCCAGCTGCACATGCCATCTGTCGCTTGGCCTTCAGGGCAGGTGGCCACTGCATACATGTAAAGCTGCTGACTGTGTGCCTAGTGCATGCATGTGAGCCCGGAGGGGAAGCAAGGATGAGAGCTTTAGCGCTACATCCAAAATGTGGCTTAACTAAATCCAACCAAGTGCCCAAGTGGGTAAAGGTGGGAATGCTGACTCCACTTGCTCCAAACCTGAAAGTGGGCTGCCCAGAGAGCCACCTTTTCGCATCCACACCCGTGGGGAGGGCTCTGCCATCTGAGGGCTCCCCCTGGCGGCCACGGGAGGGAGCAGAGCTCACCGTCTTGCCGGAGGGCGAATCCCACTCTCCCCTGCGCACCACGCCGAAGGAGCCATCCCCCAGCTTCTCCAGGAGGCGCAAGTCCTTCTCCCCGATGAGGCAGGTGAGGCTCTGTAGGGGCCCCTCGCCTGCAGGGGCCCCGGGGGTAGGCGAGGGCTTCCGGAAGGTGCTCTGGGAGTGGTGAGGGGGGAACTCAGCCTCCAGCCGCTTTCCACTGAACACCTGTTTGGAGGCAGCCAGGGACCAGGTGGAACCTGGGATGCCACTCAGTCCCAGGCCCAACCTCACTTCCCACCCCCCACCTTGGGACGGCTGCCAAGGTCCTGCTCCTTCCAGGGCACTGGCCCAGTGGAGCCCACGGCCCCGCCCAGCTGTGGGGAGAGGGGCAGCCCAGGGCCCTCCAGGCCTTGCTGTCAGGTCTGAGCCTCCAGACCCACTCCTCCCTTCCTGGGCCCCACGAGCTGCAGATCCCGGCCCGGAGCCACAAAGATGGGACAGGGGCCCAGACACCCTCCCTGCAATCACCTCCCTGTCCATTTTTGGCGCTGGACCCCTCTCTGAGGTGACCACTTGGTGCTGTCTGTCTCCCCTCCCCAGGGAGTCGGCTGCCCTTCATCCACCCAGGGGAGAGGATAATTTTAGTCTGAGGCTGAGCTGTATGTGTGTTGCTGCTGGGCCTGGGAAGACAGCTGCAGTTCTGGAGGGACGCCGAGCACTGCAGGCTGAGAAAAGAAGGAGCCTGGAGGAGATGCCAAGGCCTGGGCTGACCAGGGTGGGGCCAAAGGTCAAGGGACAGGAGGGAGAGGCCACGAGCAATGAGCTGGCCACCTCCACGGAGCTGCTGGCAGCCTGGGCCTCATGCAGCACACTCTTCCTTCCCCCTAAGGGCTGCAGAGTTCTCTTTGTGGGTGCGAGAGGCGTCTCAAATCTGGGGGCCTCTGCTCCATCCTTCCTCCCAGCAATGGAACTCTTTGTGTTTGCAGGCAACCCCTTTCTAGTCTCATCTCTGCAAGGTGAGCCAGGCAGCAAGGCCAGTGCCACTTTATGGAAGCAGTGACTCGGGCCAGGGAGGGCACTGGCCACCCAGAGGCCTCCTGCAAGCCAGCGACAGATCAGAAGTGGCACCCATGCTGCTGCTATCATGGCTTCACCGGCCCCAACACTCTCATCCTTCCCTGAAACCTGGGCAAGGGACCAAAACTGTGTCCCCAGAAAAGGCCACAGGATCCCAAGAGACAGCCCCTCTGCTGGCCGGGCCAGGAAAGGGCTCCTGCCCAATCCCCGCCAGCTGTTCTGCCCTGCCCCCCAGCCCCCAGCCGCCCCGAGTGGGGAGGGAGGCCGGGGAGGGAGGCCGGCTGGCTCACTTCCTCCCTCATTGTCTTCCAGACAATGGGCAAAGTTCCACTGAGTCAGAGCAGGGACTGCTACACCACAGACCCAAATTAGGACAAGGTGGTGGCGAGCTGGGGAGGAAGCTGTCAGCGGGGCCAGATGACCAGAGCAGCTCAGAGACGGCGGGGCCTGGAGTGGGGGACCAAGGCAGATGTCCAGGAGGCCCTGCCACCCTGCTGGACACTGGCTGCAGTGTGCAGACAGCGAGACCTGGGGAAGGCACCCAGGCTGCTCACGTGGCCGTCCCCAGAGAGACACTCAAGTGGCTGCTGCCACCCAAGTGCCCAGCCTGATAAGACCTGGAGGAGGGAGGCCCGGGAAGTGTACAGGGGCACAGTGAGAGCGCACCTGCACAGAAGGGGGCAAGGCGCCTGGCACTGCCACACAGGACCCCGGGGCCGCCCACCCACCTTGCTCATCCACGACTTGCGCTTGCACAGGGCCTTCCTTCTCTTCACGGCCTCCCACAGCCGCCGCTGGCCTGCACGGAGCAGAGAAAGGATGGGCACTGTGTGAGGCTCACACGTGCCCAGGCTGCTGCCCACCCTGCAGCTTCCCAGGTCCCCTGGGTGGCCCACGCTAGACACTGCCCAGTACAGTGACGCCAACTAAACCAGTCCCATCCAGGCCCCTAGGGGCTCCTGTTCAGCAGACACTCGTGGCACCCCATTTCCCACAGTGGTCCTCCAATTAGATGGGCGTCTCATTACCAAAATTAAATAGTGCTGGTCCTCTCCAACTCACCAGAAAAATTAAGGTAATGGATAGAATAATTCTCGATTTTGAGTTGTTTTCCTGTGAATTTTCTTATGCTACTGCCATCAGATACTAAGGATCCAGGCCAAAAGTTGCATTTGTTGGTGTTTAATTTAACAGATTATTGATACTGAAGTTGAACACACTGGTTAGTTTCTACTGTTCTACGAGAACCCCAAGATTTCTAGGTGCTACAACCACTGTTCTTCAAATACAGAGATTAGTTCAACTTAGAAGAGAGGGGAGAGGAGGGAGGGAGAAGCCAACTGAGAGCTTCTCTCTTCTTTCCCCTACAGCGCTCTGGCCATCGACCCCACAGACCCCACCGGCGCTCAGAAAGGAAAGCAGAGCAGTCTCAATGCACAAACGTCTGATCAGACAAAGGGGCGCAGACAGTCTTGGGGAGCTAGAGCTGTAAGATCCAAGGACTCTACACTCCGATTTGCTTTCACAACTGCACAGGTTCCCAGCACCCATGGGGCAGCATCCATAGCCATCCCTCCGCCCAGCTCGGGGACTCTGGGACAGGCAAGCAGTGCCCATCTGCCACCCATGGAGTCACAGGGGAGGGGTTCTCCCAAGTGCCCAGCCATCCAGAAACAGAGGAGGTAAGTGACTGAAAGGGACAGACAGCAAAGCCAGTGTCCCACCTACCAGGCCGGCCCATGCCAATCTTCTCCAGGTCCTCGTTCTTGACATACTCGAAGTGGGACAGGCGGGTCACATTGAGGTCGTCACGGAGCCGCAGGAAGTACTGTTGGAGCTGCACCTCGGACAGCAGCTCCAGCAGCCAGGCTGTGCCCTCTTCGGGCTGCATGCTGCTGCTCCCCAGCCTCTGCAGACAGGATGGGAGAAGGGCTCAGGGATGAGGCACGAGGGACAGGGCTGGCAGGGCTGCCACCAGGGCACTGGCTCCCAACACCTACAATACAGTGGGGCTGCCTGGGAGGGCTCAGTCCACCTTCCTGCTCCCCAAAACAGCTGACCACACTTCCCCTCTTCCTGTGAGCGGCAGGGTAGATAGAGGTCGGCTGAGACAAAATGCAGGGCTGACCCCAAGCAGCCAGGGCTAGTTCCACTGAGATCAGCCACTCTGCACAGCTTCCCTGCCTGCCCTTAACACCTCCAGTGCCACAAGCCCTTTGATAACTTCATTAGAAACTTATCAATTATCTCTCCAGGAGGACAGACACATTCTTAGTCCTAAAATTCTAATTTGAAATATCCCCTGAAACCCACACATGGGCTCCTCGGATCAGACAGATGTCCCCATGCATGACATCTAACCCAAAGACCACTCTGCAGGCCACCGGCAGGCGCCCACAGGGTCACAAAGGCTGAGACAAGATGGCAGGAGCTGAGTGGGCTTCCAGACACCCAGAGTAATGCAAAGCGAAGCTCCTGCCAACAGCTGTCATCAGAGACTGGCCCAGTGTTATTAAGATACCCACTTTTTCAGTGACAGATGTCTGAATTCATATGTGAAATCTTCCTTTTTTGTTGTTGTTACTGGGGATCGAATTCTGGTCCTTGTGCTTACGGGACAGGCTGCAGAACCACTGAGCTAAATCCCCGGCTAATTTTTTTTGTCCCGGGGATCGAACTTGGGTCCTTGCCCTTTCGCAGCAGGCAGCGAAACCACTGAGCTAAATCCCCGGCCCTTAGTTGTTTTTTTTTAAAAAGAAGTACATGGTAAAATATTCAAAAGACACAAAGAGTCTGATTCCCTCCCCTACTACATAGCCACTAGCTCCTCATCCCAGAGCCAGCTACTGCCCACACTGTTTTTTTGTTTTTTAGACAGGGTCTCACTATGTAGTTCAGGCTGGCCTTGAGCTATGTAGCCCAGGGTGGCCTTGAACTTGTGGCAATCCTCCTGCTTCAGCCTCCTGAGTGCTGGGATTACAGGCGTGTACCTCCACACTTGGCTCCATTAATGTCTTTTATGTGCCCCCTTGAGACATAGTTTTTCCCGTACCTAAATATTCACATCATCCTTATCCTCCACTCTGTTTCTTGCTTTCACTTAACTTACATCTTTCTCCCAACTTTAAACGGTGTCAACTAGTTCAAGTTTGAACACCACCCCTCAAAAAAACACAACCCACCTGTAGGCTCCAAGCAGCCGGTGGGTACCAGCAAGTGATTTCTGGTCCTCATCCTCTTTGGTCCAGAGAAGAGGCCAGTGGCACCTTCCAAGCTAAGCAGCCTGACCCACCAGCCACCAAATCCATCCCTGTCCCAGCTCAGAGCTGAGGCTTGGCCGGGCCAAGCCCTGCTCCACTGCCACCAAGGAAGACGGGGGAGAGGGAGAGGCTGGCTGCCTAGCTAGGGCCGAGAGTGCCCCACTGAACACCGCAAGGTGGCCTCACCCTGACTCCCATCACAACAGCATGCACCAAGGGAGGCGGGCACTGGCAGCTGGGCCCAGCAGAAGCCTCCCGCTCCAGTTCCCAGTGGTCCTGCCAGCACAGTGCCTGGAGCCCTGTGTTTCCCAGGCAGCTCAGGGCAGCACAAATAGTGACAAATGGGCATGAGAAGCGCGCTGCTCAAACCCTGGCTCTTCCACCACAGTGACTGGGCCAGCTGGGGGTTCCAAGCTGTAAGCTGTAACGCTTTACTTGGCTGGTTCTCTGGGAAGGAAATGCCCCACTAGGGGACACTTCTGGTCATCATGGTGGCTGGCAGGGGGAGGACTCAGCATTCCTAGTGGGCGGCTGGGAATAAGAACATGAATTACCCTGCAAGATGCAGGACAGTCTCAAACACTATCCCAAATCCCACGCAATGTAATTGACACAGGTGAAAACTTGTTTGTGATCATCCACACCAGAGTCGAATTCCATTTGACATGTGAACAACAAAATATTTTGGTGGTTTTAATATGCACTGAATTTTCCTGGAATGGTACTGGGTAAGCTAAGGAAAAACTAGACTGGTTTATCAAGAAGATAGCACAAGTCCACTCTTTGGAAAAGCACCAGTGAAGGTAATGGCCTTATTTCCAAACTCCCCTCTCTCTCAGCACTGGTGTGTGCTGCCCTTGTGCTGTCCCGCCTGAGCCCTTTCTCCCATCACTCGGGGCACAGGTAGGTCAGAATGCACAATATGCTGTATGCTACTTTCCTTGACTGACTCTACACAAAGGGTAATGATAAAAACAATACCTAATATTTCAAGCAATACTCACTAGATGCCAGTTCTAAACATTTGGCTGTCTTAACTCATTTATCTTTAACAAAACCATCTGTTTATCAAAAAAAAAAAAAAAAAAAGAATGAGGAGGAAAAGGAGGAGAAGGAGAACGGGGAGGAGAAGCAGCAGAAGCAGCAGAAGCAGCCGAAGCAGCCGAAGCAGCCGAAGCAGCCGAAGCAGCAGAAGCAGCAGAAGCAGCAACAGCAGCAGCAGCAGCACAGAGCTGAAGTGCTCGGTGCCCTGTGCTCCCCAGAATAAAGCTCAGAGGTGCACTGTGAAGCTCATGGCTGGGCAGGTGGAGCCAGCCAGCATTTCCACTACCAGTCCCCTGTCTTGCAGCAAGGGGACCCTGCTGGCTACGGGGTATAGCCAAGATGGGGGCCCTAATCCCCACCAAGGCAAGCAGAGTACAGGACCCGACGTCTCCCTCTCTGTGACCAGCCCGGGGCTCTCAAGCCTGTCCTGCTCTGGGCGCTCACAAGCAGCTCCAAGCCATGCCCTGGTGGCCAGCGCTGGGGGCTACCCAGAGGCCCCTCCCCTGAAGCTACTTAGCCCAGGCCCTCCCTGCTCCCCAACCACAGAACAGGGCTGCTGCGAGGGGTATGTGGGAAGATGGGAAGGACACTGAGATGGGACAGGTCCCTCCTCCCTGAACTTCCCTTCTGCAAAATGCACACCCAGCTGCAGCCTCCCTAGGCTCAGTCTCCAGCCCCGAGTGCGCAGTGTCTGCACACTTGTGTCCGACACATGAACGTGCCCACATGAACAGCTCCCGAACACACTTTCTAACACACACACTAATGAGAACCAACAGGCGGCTGGAACAGAAAGGCCACTCTGGCCTGAGTCAAGCCCAGCCTCGAGGTGCCCTCAGCCACCCCGTCGTCCCTCTGTCCTCAGTGACCGGCGCCAGCCCCACTCACTGTGTACAGCCGCCTCCGCAGCCTGGCCAGGAGAGGGAACGACAGCTCCAGGCCGGGGAAGCGGCGAGCTGCTGGCATCTCCGCAGAGCTGACCACCCTGAGAGGTCAGTGGGGCCACGGGCCAGGAAGTGGCCAAGCAAGGGCCCCCACTCCTGAGCTGTATGCTCTATCCAGAGGGAGGCTGGCTGAAGTCTGTCCCCAGAGTCCCCCAGATGCCACTGTGGGGGTGGAAAATGAGGCAGAAGAATGGGATGGCCCCTCTGCGCTGCTGCAGGCCCGAATGAGCAGCCCAGGTCCTCTATCCTGTTCTGTCTTCTCTCTGGGCAGTGGTCACAGCTCCAGCCCGACTCCCTGACTCCCCCACCAGACTGCACCGCCTTCCTCCTCCCTCCCTCCCTCCCTCCCCAGCTGAGCAGCTCTGACACTGGCTGAAAAAGGACCTTTCTGAATCCCTGCCAAGAGGACAGCAGGGCTGGGGGGGGCTCTTCCTCCCAGCCACCCGCACCGGCCCCCCTGCCTCCCCACACACAAGGCCCCCTGTCTGCCTCCACTGCAGCCTCACAGTTGCAGACAGACCCTGGGACTGGAGGGTGGGAGCTGTGTGATTCCCAGAGCACGGAGAAGAAGGGCTGCAGGCCCACAGGGGCTTGTCCCAGGCTGTGCAGGCTAAAACACAGCCTGGATTGGGGGGCTGGATCCCAGAGTCTTTCTTGGATCCTGTAGATAGATCTTTGGAGATCCCCACCACTATCACCAAGTCCAAGCCTTGGCTAGGCGTCTCCTGGCTCAGACCCTAATGTGGCCCTGTTTCCCTGGTGCCTGACGGAAATAGGAGGCCGGCAGCCTGCCAGTGTGGGGCAGTCCAATCAAGACCAGGGTGGGGTGGGGGCGAGGCTCTTGGCCCCCTCCTCCAGGGCTGCATCTCCTGCCCACATCAGGGTGCCACTGCCTCAGGCCAGCTGGCCCAGGTCCAAAACCATTGGAAACCAATACGCCTCGAGACCACTGCAGGTTCGCCCTCACCCCAAAGCTGTAGGAGTATGTCAAGCAGAGCACCCCACCACAGACAGCAGCCTCAGCTGAGGGGACTGGGGACACCCTGTGAAGCCCCTCAGGCTCCTACATCCTCAGAGTTGACAAGTAGTCCCCTGGCCCTCCTCAGAAGGCGCCAGCTGCTCTTAGACTCCCCTCCCTCCGGCCCCCAGACACACCTGACAGCTGCAGGAAGTCCTTCCTGCTCCAGCCCCAGGCCCTGCCTAAGGAGCCCCTGTTCCTTGCACACTGCTCTCTTGTCCCTATCCAGCTGGCCACCAGCTCAGCGAGTCTCAGCTGGCCTGCAGGGTAGGCAGCTGGGGTGAAGTTTGGGGGAGTAAGCATCCCAGGCTCTCTTCCAGTGCAGGGCCTCCTTGGGGGTGTCTGAAGGACAGCTGGTTCCTTCTCTGACCTGGGGGGCACCCAGAAATCAATCCTTCTTCCCCAGAACCCACTCACACCACACGAAGTTTGACAAGGGAGCCAGGTGCAGCCTCCCCTCAATCTGAGGCTGAGGTTGGTACTAAAGGACAAGACAGTCCCAGAGGGCACAAGGACTCTTCCCCGAAGTTTGCAGACAACGCCCTCAAGAGCTCCTCCCTGAAAACAACCTTCCATCAGGCACCAGCCCCAAGCAGACCAAGGGACCTGGGGTTCAGGGACAACCCAAGCAGCGTTATTCCATCAACTGTAAGAAGGGGCTTTTAGATCACAATGGCCAGGTTAAGCCTAGGCACACCAGAACCATCAGCACCCCAAATCCACCAGAACCTCATGCTTGGCTGACCCCTTGGATGTCTAACAAGAACAAGCCTTAGGGCTGGGGATTTAGCTCAGTGGCACCACGCCCACCTGCCTCACAAGGGAAAGGCCCTGAGTTCCATCCCCCATATCAAAAAAAAAAAAAAAAAAAGAACAAGCCCTAGCAGCTTGCCCAAAATCCAACTGTGGGAAGCTGTAAAGAGAAGTAACTCGTACTGGGGGTCAGCACCAGGTCAGTTCCTGAACCCTTCCTCCCTGCCCTGGAAAACAGCCTGACCTTTTTGCAGGCAAATCCTTTTCTCCTATCGGTTACCGCCCTCTGCCGGCCAGAAAAGGAAGTGTATGATCTCCAAGGAAAAAAGGAGGCAGCCCAGACACAGGGTGACCATATTTTCCAAAGCAAACGGGGACATTTGCCTTGATATAAAGACTCAGTAGGCCAGTAAATGGGAGTGTCCGGGATACATGACTCAGTTCCCCCGAAAGACAACCCAGATCTGAGCTCCTAGAGGGCACTGCAGAAGGCCCAAAGGGCAGCTTAGAGTCCCAAGGGGCCATGCACACCGGGGCGATGTCAAGACCTCTAATTCACCTCCACCGGCACCACACACCCCGGCAAATGCATCCCAGATCTGCCCCGGGGCCAGGAGCACCCTGTATCCCTGGCTGTATCCCATACCCTGGCTGCTGCGGCTACAGAGCGCAGGTGATGGGGCCCGGATTCCTGGCTGTCCCCTACCTCCGCCCCTCCTTGCCCCGCTGCCAGGTGCTGGTAAGCAGTTCTTTTCCTCATGGAGCCCAGAGTCCCGGATCAGCCAGGGAAGCACAGCAGCACCACCGCCCCTCCAGCAGCTTAGCCACGTCACTGTCCTGCGCTGGGGGAGGGGGATCTCAAGCATCCTGGTGAGGGAGGCTCCAACCCACCCCACCCCCCACGGAATCAGGGGCTCCCCAAGGAGGTGACAGCGCAAACAGGCAGCCTTGTACAACATGACCCTCTGCACCTTGGAGAGCCACCGGCGGTGGAGGGAGATGGCCCCCTCCCTGCCCACACCCACAGCTCCTCCCACGCAGCCCCCAGCGGCTCCAGGGCTGATGCCGAGAGGCCTGCGCCTGGCTGGGCCTGAGACTGACTCTCTGCCCACCCCCTCGAAGGACAGAGACAGGGTCCACCTGCAGGCCCCTGGCTCTTCATCCCCAGCCTCGTTCCAGAGCCCCGCCCCAGAGCCCCGCCCCAGAGCCCCGCCCCTCACCTCCTGGTCTTGACCTCCCTGGGACAGTGCCGGCTGTGCGCCTGGAGCGTGGGCCAGCTCACCCTCCCTGACTTCAGACTGGCGACTCCTGCACATGCCCACTCCTGCACTTGCCCACGCAGCAGCAGTGTCTGCTTAGCCCTGGGGAGAGGACAGGCAGGAAATCCTGCTGTGACAGTTCCTCCCCTCCAGATTAGGATTGGAGCCCAAGGTGCCAGGCACATCTCCTTCGAACCTAGTGTTTAGGGCTGAGCTCAGGGCCCCTCTGCCCTTCTGGGGGCAGAGGAAGGAGAGATGCTGAGGACCCACCACCAGCCATAAGGCTGAGTAAAGACTCCAGCATGCCACTGGGTGGGCATCATCAGGCTCACCAAGCCCCTTCTCCATCTTGGCCTCAGCAGTCTTCCTTCCTCTGCTCCCTCCCCTCTGCCCAGCCCTGAGCAATGAACACAGCATGGGAAGGGATGGGGGATGGCCAGAACACTTGGCCCTAGACCCTGGTGGAAAGGAGTCCTGTAAGCTGCTGCAATCAGCAGCCTGTGGAGAAACCAAGGCTGGGAATGCCAGACCCACCCCTTCCTGCCCAGGACCATTCCTCCTGCTTTCTCCCGCCTCATCCCCCCAGAAATCCCACCTCCCAACACCATCCCGCTGTGCCATCCACAGGACCCCAACCGCCTGATGTGCCCAATACCTCGGTCTTCACTTGCTCCCTGTCCTCTCACACTACACAGCTAAAGGGAGCCAGGAGCAGCTGGGGACAGTGGCCTCCAACATCCACTCCCCTGGCCCCAGCCTAACAGCATGTGAAGCGACAAATCCACATTGTGTGATTTCCAGCCAGGAGGAAGGTCCCAAGATACCCTACTGTATTCTTGGGAAGAGAAGCCAACTCTACCAAGCTGGCCCCCTCCCACCCTGGCCTCCCTCTTCTCCAAGCCCCGAGTCAGGACAGGATGGGGGGGCTGCCTTGCGCATCACCCTCACCAAGTCATCAGCCTCAGCCCACCTCTGTGCCCAGGGCCAAGCGTCTGCACCAAGGCCGGTTCCTCTTGGGCCGTGTCCCCGAGGGAAGTGGACCTGGGAACCTCA